TTTCAGCAACCAAGCTCTCCTGGGCCAAAAATATACAGGTCCCAATTTTACAGGCCCAAATTTTGCATGTGCTTCCCCTCTTGCCTCTAGGAAAATTTTTCAAATTTTTAATTTGTCTCTGCTTTTGGTCCTGTTTCTCATAGCAGATATGGCTAAAAAGTCACCACCAGCATTACTCATACTATAGCCTCAACACTGGGCTGCACTGAAAGTTCCTCTGCCAGGTTATTCTACAATCCTTAATCTTAGTCTCCCACAAAGTTTCAGGACATGAGCAAAATGAAGACAAATTTTCTACCAGCATATACACATGATCTTGAGTCTAACTGCCAATGGAGTCCTTATTCCCAACTGAAACCTAAGCTTGGGTTTTACCATCTTCATTCTTATCAGGGTTCTAGTGTTCTTAGCTGTGACTAGAAACTCCCATCAAGCTTAGCTTACAGAATTCTGGGGCCTCTCTGGCCAGAATTTGCAAACCTTTCTAAATGTCTCCATAAACTCCTTCTAAAGGTTTCTAACAATATAGCCAGGTATATTCACAGCAACACCACTATTTTTCTAGTACCAAAATCTGTCTTAGTCACTTTTTCATCACTGGAACACAACACAATACCCAACACCCACAACTTAAGGGAGGAAAAATATATTTTGGCTCACAGTTACTGTCTGCAGTCAGTTGGTTCCAATGCAAGAGCAGCATGGCAGGAAGGTACAGTGAAGGAAGAGCTGCTCACATCTTGTTGGACAGTAGGAAGAGACAGAAGAGAGAAGCCAGGGAGATTTATAGCCTCCTCATCTAACAAGACCCCACTTCCTAATAGCAAATCAACTATATCACCTGCACGATTCAATCGCCTTCTAACAGTCCCACCTATGAATGCAGGAGGCCTCTGAGAAACACTCCCAATGTAAACAATAACAGAGAGAGGCCATAATTTCAAATTCTTAAGTAAATCTATGACGCATACAAAGTTTATAGAGAATTGCTTTTAACTTGTGGAATTTTTTCCTACAATTTTACAACCAAGATTCTATTTATTCCTACAAATCTAGGATTTATTTGGACTTACTGTCCCAACATATACTCATATCTAAGTATATTTTCCTTATATGTACTATTTCCAATAGATTTTTAATATTTCAACTTAATTATCAATAGAGTGAAGATATCAGATACATCTCTTGAATGTAAAGGCTAAGCTGTGCTATGAGAAGGTAAAAGGGAGTGAGACAAAAAGCAGAGCTAGCTGGGCATGGTGGTGCATGCCTGTAATCCCAAAACTCAGGAGGCTGAGGCAGGAGGATTGTTGCAAGTTCGAGACCAGCCTGGGCTACAAAGTGAGCTCAAGACCAGCCTAAACTGTATAGTGAGACCCTGTCTCAAAAGACAAAAAAAAAAAAAAAAAAAAAAGGACAGCTAGCCTAAGGAATTCATGGAGTACACTGAAAATCAGAGTTTTTGGAAAGAACAGTACAAAGATAACCAAGACTTAAAGATAGGAAGATGTTACCCCTTAGAAAGAGATCAACACTTCCAAGTGCCCATCTGTTTTACAAAATGATCCCCTGTATGAACTGCCTAACGTATTTATTTTTATTCTAGATCCACAGGGAAAAATGGTCTGTTCAGCAATAAAATAATAAACAAATATAAAATATAATAAATAAATACAAAAACCCATAGACATAAATATTTTACCTATATCTCAAATGCCCATTACAATTATTAAAATGCTTAAACACTTCCACCCAGAAGTTGATTAAATTAGAGACGATACATTCTTTATACAGTTGTCCCTCACTCTATTGTGGTTCACTTATTGTGGCTTCACTGCACTGTGGGTTTTTTAAAAAAATATAATTCTGTATCGTGGAGTTTTTGTTATATCATGGGATTTTGAGGTTTATAGATATTTATATAGTATTTATGATTTTAATTATTTTTGCCTAAAAAATTTAAAACAGTATAAAAATATAAAAAACGTTAATTCAAACATGTTAAAAGAATATTAAATTGAAATAAAACACAGTATATATTTCATTAGCAGATGAACACTACACTGCACACAATGGAAATGCAGTATGCCATTACTGCTTGAGCAAGTCTGCCAACGTGAGATTGTACATGGCACACTATTGGCTGATGGAATAGAAGACGACCAACCACAGCACTGTGTTCTGTATCCTGGGTGCTGATTGGCTCAGTGACCATAGATTGGTCTGTTTGTTCTCCTGCACTGTGCTATATTCAGCCTCTCTCCTTGTCCATGTCACATGAAGTACCCATATAGAATTTTACATGTTAAAATTATATAGGTTTAAAAGTGTAAAAAGTGTTTAAGAGAATATGAAGTGTTTATAAGGTGTGGGAAAGGTTAATAAGAGAATGGAAAAGGTTTATAGGACTGTGGGAAGGGTTTATAAAGCCATAAAATATATATAAATAATAAAATAAATATAATGCCACTATTTTGCAGTTTTCAACCATTGTGGGGGGGGGGTCTCTGGACCATAACTCCAGCGATAGGTGAGGGATCACTGTACAAGATTTCATTACCAGTTTTGGAGACAAGAAATGTAGAGAGAATCAATTTTATCATTTACCCATACTCAATTTTACTGAGATATACTATCTAGGCAAATTTAAATAAATAGATATCCATTTCCTGAGGAAAATTGTCATCAGACAAATACAGGTAAAATCAGAAAAGCAATTGCAAGATATTATGAGACTAGTCTTCTGTTTTGAAAAACCACAAGCACCTTAATGGTTATAGTTGATATACCCCTTTCACATTGTTACAAAAAATAACATTCAGTTTTACTAAGTATAATACTGTTTATTCACTTCGGTTGGTTCGTCCTTTTTTCAAACTTGGTTCTTCTAATATCATTAGCATTAATTAGTAATAATAGTATTAAAGAAAAATAAAAAGATGTAGTTCCTGTATTCTAAGAACTTTCTAATAAAAATTTCCTTTTTTAAAAAATTAAGTTTATTGATATATTTTAGGTATACATAATGATCACATTCATCATAGGGAATTTGTACGTGTATATGATATAACTTGATTCTTTTTTTTCCTATTCCCCTACCTTCCCTTCAACCCCTCTTCCCCTCCTTATTTACAAAAGCTTTGTTTCCATTTTTTCCTTCTTTTCTCATTAAAGTTTTCTTCTTTTAAAATGTCAGATGATTTGTATATTAATAGTCAAATCTAAGAAACCCTGTCATAAAGGAAGATAGGTTTCTTTCTGTTTAATGTATTTAATAGTTAAGGGAACAATGCGTGCCCAAACATTCACTTGACTACATGAGTTTCCACTCGAAAGTACTGTGCATATTTTCTATATCAGTATCTGCTAACAACTAACAGCCACCAGTCAAGAGGAGTCACTATACTGAGAAGTCTTACTGAAGTTGAAAAAGTAAATATGGAACAGCAATTTAGACAGACAAACCTAAATTTGACTACTGACTTTGCCAGTATGTAACCTTGATAAAGCTATTGAACATCTAACCAGTTTATCTGAAAAAAGTAAGTGAATATGATACCCACATCATAGGACTGCTGTGAGAATTACATGTGCTCAAAACACTAAAACTAAATACAAGCCTACAAACAACAAAAAACAACAGCTAGAGTGAAATGGTAGGATATACCCTTTCTCGTTGATTTTTTTCTCTTTTTTTGTAGAACCGTCTAAGCCTTTCTCTATATTATAAAATAAATTATGAAACAAAATTTCTGCAATTCTACCTATGGACATCAAGGTTCTAACTAAGGCCAACTGTAACCAAATCTACTAATTCACTTAATTCTATTATGTCCTTAATACACTTCTTCTATCTAGAAAATATTTTATGAAATTCTCTGCAATTCCTTTAAAATTTTGGCAGACAGTAGTGGAAAGAGAATATCAATCCCTGGCTTTAGGAGTCTCTAAGGTTTGATCTCTTGAACTAAAACACTCCTGAAGACTGCTCACGATAAAAAGAACATACATGGGCCAGGGATATAGCTCAGAGGCACAAGTGTCTGCCGGCCAAGTGCAAGGTCCTGAGTTCAATTCCTGGCACCAAAAAAAAAAAAAAAAGACCATGCAAAAAACAAAATAAAACAAACCTCTCGTAGTAAAGTATTCTTTCTCCTGCTCTAAATCCCCTCTTCCTACCCCAAACATTTAACACCGCAATATCAATGGAAACCATCTGTCTACACATTTAATAATAATTGAAAAGTTGAGTTCATTACCACTCTATCAGAATATTTGTTAAATATTATCACTTCAAGAGAAAACATTATAAATTTGTTTTTCCCTAAATACTCTCCTATGAAAAATCAATTCTCTTAATGGTAATTTACATGTGAAAGTTTCTAGTTTGGTAAAAAGGACACTGAACAGAAGTGTTAGTTTGAACTAATTATTTAATTTCTCTTAGAAAGCTTGCCTCTACATCCTTATTACTCAAAACATGGTTCCCTACACTAGCAGAATTAGCATTACCTGAGAACTTACTAGCAATACAGAATACCAATTGACTATACCCCAGGATAGGATACTGCTACACAACAGACCTAATAAACTAGGGATCTGCATTTTAACAAGTTGCCACATAATTTATATACATATTAAAGCTTGAGAAGCACAGTTCTATTCAAAAAGGGGATTTGACTAGGTGGTCTTAAGGCCCCGTTCAGTTGTTTCCTATGAAAAATCATGCTGAACAACATGGAAGCCTGTATTCTTACGGGGTAAACGCTAGCTAGCGCTGAGTAGCAGCTGCCCCCATGCACTCTCTGGCTCCCTCCATTGTCATTTCACTCCCTTCATCTATTTATGGTAACTGGATCCTATTTGGTCTCCAAATTAGATTCCAAACAGAACTGACGAATTCTTCTCCTTTTCAGTAAAAATGAGATGCTGTCAGAAGTAAAAAAATAAAAAAAATCATTATCTACAGTTTTAGGTGAAAGAAAACAATATTCATTTACCTTGATGGGAAGTAGTGAGGTCCAGGTAGGAAGTAAGGGTGATGAAAAGAGAATCGTGGTGGTGTCCCAAACAGTGTGGCTGGATGGCCAAGGGGAGATGGTTGGTAGACGTGTGAATGTGGAATGGGAGACGCCTGGGGGACTGGAGCACTTCTGGGACAGCTGGATATGCTGGAATACTCCTTGGGAGGTGGGATGGTCGGGGTTGCAAATCTGGCATCGGCAGTACTTGCACTGGTTGAAATACTGTCGGTGCTCTCGATAGAGACAGGGGTGGGTCTCTTCACGGAGTGCCTGGGTCCAGAAGGCAGGAGAGGAGTGTCAGCGTGGGAAGGCCCAGTAAAGCGCTGAGGCGGAAGTGCCGGGCACAGCGGCAGACTTGGAGCCTGGACGGCCACCTGGGCATTACTGGAGACACTGGGCTGGAAAAGTGCGATGGGGCTTGGGCGCTGGACTGCAGGTGTGGGCAGCTGGATGGCAGGTGGGGTTTCACCTTTAGAAAAACAAATAGCACAGATCAAGCATTCACTGGATCACCGCATGTTCTTCTTTTCAGAAAAATCTAAACTGTTCAGAGAGAGCCCTTCACTAACTACCTCACCTCATACCATCATCATATCAAACCACCACATTTCCTTTACAGCACAAACAAAAGGCAATCATCGTAATTTCTTGTCTCTTTGCCGTATTTGTCTATCTTTCTCAACTAGACAGTAAATGACAGGGATCTTCTCTGCTTTGCTCACTACTACTCCCCAGACACAAAGTTTTGACGGCCACAGAACAAGCCTTTAACCAGTTTTTGGATGAATAAATGAATTAAAGTACTCATTGATAAATACAAAGAATGATTATATACAAATGCTGATATATACTTTTTTATTTTTATTTTTTTACAGTGGTACCTTGGTTCATGAATTTGATTCTTTCCACGATTCTGCTCACAAAATGAGTGGGATAAGAACAGAATCAAATTCAATGGTTGGGTCAATGTTGACCTTATGGGGAAATGTGATTTCAATCTTGTCCAGTTTGGTATGTGACCAGAATCACGGAGAGAATTGAGTTCATAAGCCAAGGTACTACTGTTTTTCTAACAGAAATAAAATTATGACATAATTACCCTTAAGTCGTGGTCATCTAGGAGAGAGGACAGGGTAGGTGGGCAACAGAAAAAGCTAGACTTTGAGTTGGTATTATTTAAATCTTCTGTGAATCTAAACATATTAACTTTATGTTTCAGAGTAGCACTGTGAGCCTTTTTTCTTTTTGTTAAACTGAAGAATAAAGGACATTTTTAATTAAAAAAAATTAAGCAATCAACAAAATTATTTTACTTTCTTGCATTCAATGTGAACACAGGAGGAAATTTCCAAATGAGAACACCATTCATCACAGGTCAACCATTTGTAATAAATATAAAAAGAAAATTATTACAGCCAGGCATGATAGAAATGGCAGAATTTTTAAGGCAAGTCAAATAATTATGTGTTTTATCTTTCTATTCCTAAAGAAGACAGGACTGCTGATTTGAGTAGCTGCATTAGCAAAATCATACATACTATAAATTTAACTGTCCTATAATGAAATGCAAACAGAAGCTGCAGCCATAATCCTATCCATTTTATCCCTATGAAGTTGGGTATCTGTTAATAAAAAAGAAGCAGTCCAAGAACAGACTCTGCAGTTAGAAATGTCTTTGTCAGAGACCCCCCCAAAAATATGAATCTTCCTTCAGGTTTGCCCACGTAGGACTTCCCCCTTCCTCCTTCCCCTGGTTGGAGCAGATAAGGCCCCACCTAAACCTGGAAGTAGTAAATTAAGGAACATGGCAGAGGAACAGGTTGTAACTAAAGGTCTGGATTCTCATTGATGAGGTCACATAGATTCGCCCTTCCCTCTGCGAGGCAGAAGCCCAAATTAGACCTTTCCTGATTTTTCAAGTATAAGGTAATTTCCCTTTGTGTACCTTCCAAAACTTGTAAATCTATCACTTGGGATAAAAATAGTATAAATCTCTGCACTTATTTGCATGTCTGCTGTCCCCACTAGTCACCAAGCTGCAAATGAGAGTAAGAATTGTTTCTCTTGATTCATATTTGGATACCCAAATCTAGCACAGAACCTGGTTAATAAAAAATAGTTAAGAAAAGAATGGATAGATGAAATAACAAGCTGACAAATCGAGTACACCTGATACTACTAAACCTTCTCAAACAACTGTTTAAAACAAGGTTAACTTGCAAAATCTTGTTAACAGGGTAATTATTATACCCAAGACATTTACCCCCAAAAATCGACCCTGTTACATGTTTCTTTTACCTATACCTAATTCAAGAAGCTCTTATTTCTCAGTGGAAAAAGTATGGTCTTTTTAGGCAAAGAAAAAATAAAATGCAATAGTTGTAAAGAAACACAGATAAACTCTCAGTTTCTAAAGACAGAAGGATATATCTTTTACCAAATGCTTGTTTCTATCAAAGACATTCCTATAAAGGAAAAGCTAGAAATGAGACATGGGGGTGGTAATCATGCATTTATTTAACTCAATAAATGTTCATTAAGCAACTAATATGTGCCAGAGACTGTTCTGGTCTAAGGTTAAAAATTAGAAGATTTAATTAAAAACTGTAGTGTGTATGTGTTTAAATTTTTAAAAATTTATTATTTATTAAAAGACACACATTGCCATTTAGCCCCTTCAAAAAACTACCCCTCACTTCAAACACACATATCTCATCATTCTTGCCACTTTCTGAACCAGTTCTGAAAGTTTCTCTTTTCTAAGTGCCTTCAGAAACTATAAGAAAAATAGGGTGAATGCTGCTGTTGATTTCTATCCAATGGAAAGAAAGGTTTGTAAAAACATATAGCGTGCCCTCATCCACCTTATTAACCAGATCTGGTACTATTCAACTTCTGGCTCTTCCCCAAAGTCAAAATATGACCATGAAAGATAAGCACTTTGAATCAATTCAGGACATCAAAGCAACCACAACACTGCAACTAATGACAGTCATGACAGGGCACTTCAGAACTGCTTCAGAAAGACGGCAAGAATGGCAGGATAAGTGGCTGACGCAAGGGGGAGTGTTTTGAAGGGGATAAATGACAATATGTCTTCTACTGAAATACCGTTTTTACATTTAAACATCTACTGTATGTTTCAATCATATCTCATGGATATGCAGAGTGTTATACGGAAGTACAGTATCGTAAATGTCAGGTTAAAAAGCAGGAAAGTTGAGTAGGTAAAACTCTTGAAGACATGGGTATAGACAAAGACTTTACGAACAAAATCCTGATTGCACAGGAACTATCACAAAGAATCAACAACTGGGTTCTCATCTTATTAAAAAGCTTTTGCACAGCAAGAAAAACCACCAACAGAGTGAAGAGATAACCCACAATGTAGGAAAAAATATTGGGCAGCTGTTCCTCAGACAAAGAATTACTACTGAGAATGTATAAAGAATGCAAAAAAAATCAGACCTCTGAAATTTAAAGACCCAATCAAAAAATGGACCTCTGAGATGAATACACACTTCTCAGATGAAGAAATATGAACAGCAAATAAATATAAGAAAAAAATTCAACATCACTGGTCACTTGAGAGATGCAAATTAAAACAACACTGAGATTCCATCTCACCTCAGAAAGAATGGCTAGTATCAAGAAATTAACCAATAACAAACGCTGAAGGGGCTTTGAGGAAAAAGGAACCCTTCTCCACTGTTGGTGGGAGTGCAGACTGGTGCAACCACTATGGAAATCAATGTGGAGATTCTTCAAAAAACTAGGTTTGGAGATCCCATTTGACCCAGCTATTTCCCTTCTGGATATCTTCCCAGAAGAATTAAAAACATCATAACACAGCCATAAATGTGCACCCATGCTTATAGCAGCATAATTTCTGATAGCCAGATCTTGGAAACAACCCATATGCCCATCAACTGAGGAATGGATAAAAAAGATGGGGTCTTTTTACATAATGGAGTACTACTCAGCCATAAAGATGGATAAACTGGAGACTTTCATAGATAACTGGATGCAACTCGAGACCATACTCATAAGTGAAATAAACCAGGTGCACATGTGTAAACACTGTATTGTCTCCCTAGTGTGAGAAGCTGAAAAAGTAAACAAGATCCAAAATGTATAATAGATATTGAAAAATAAGAAAAAATTTCAAAAAGGGAGAGAAACTGCGATGGAGAAACGGAGACAACAAGGAAAGGAAAAAGAAAAAAAAACATATGTATATATATATATATATATAAGATAGTTACACTACTAATTTCTCTTAGTTCATTGAAAAGAAAGGTTTGTATTAATATTGTTTGGACAATTAAATGCCGATATACTGTACTCTGCATAATTCATTTAAAGATCACAATATGCAATATATTAGCCATTGTTACCCTCCTATTATCTTGTTTTGAAGTTTTATTTGTTTCTCTTTAAAATAAAAAAGCAAAAAAAAAAAACAAAACCCAGGAGGTTAAAGTCTGAAACATTCAGTCCTCTCTGATAAGCCCCCAGTGAATATGGAAGATTTGTGAAGAAGGCAGAGCTCTACTATATCAAACTGTACATACAGTGTGGTAGAAATTAGCCAGCCACTTCTCTTCTTTTCTTCTGCCACACAGCTGGTTATATTTTCCAGCTTGCCTTACAGTTAGGAATGGCTACATACCTAAGAGCTACCCAACACAGTATAAGCAGACTGTCTATCACCTCTGGGATGGGCAGATAAAAGACGCTCACATGGGATCCTCTGTGCTTTTTTCCTCTCTGCAGGTTCTGCAGAGTGGCCTATGTTGTCGATTATTAAAGATGGCAGAGTACAGTGTAGGAAAAAACTCTGGGTCTATGAGGTACCTTTTGAAAGAGAGAGATCAGAAATACCAACCGGAAACACCTACTGTGGACTTTACATGGGGGGGAAATGAGTGTCATGTTTAAACCATTATACTTTAGAGCTGGCTAACATAATATGGCACTAAATATGAGAGAAAGAGTAAATACTCCACTGGACATATAGATAATACCAGACAAGAAAATTACTAAAGATTTCATCAATCTATTTTTTGGTATAGCAAAATTAGGTTTTTTGTTTTTTTTTTTGGTTTTTCTCCGGTACCGGGAACCGAACTCACGACCTTGCGCTTTCCAGGCAGGCGCTTTGCCGCTGAGCTAAATCCCCAGCCCAAAATTAGGTTTTTTGTATCTGTCTTTCCTACAACTACCTTACAAACTCTTTGACACCAGAGACTGTAAAAATACCTTTGTATTTTGTGCTAAGCAGAGATGTTTAATAAATATCAGGCAGAAGAGAAAGCAGGCAGGGATACAAATGCAGCACTAGAATTTACTCAGAAAATATGAGATGGAAAAATTCACTGAAACAGAGAAAATACCAAATTGTACCTTTAGTTTTCAAATGGACTAAATATCTTAATGAGATAAAAATGTGTTGGGAAGAGCAAACAGGGTTAGTAGACCCATAGCAAAATAAAACAAGCTTCATTGAAAGTCAAATGATGGAGAAAGATTGCTAGAAAGATCCATAAATTCAGAATCTGAAACATTACCTGTTAATAATCACAACACTTCTACACTTACATTCCTGACTAATGAAAGAAGACCAAAAGAATCAATCAATCCACCCTGAGGTTATTCAATTTTTGGAACACAAATAATGGGTAGGGAAAAACACTGATAAGGACAATAGAATAAAAAGGACGTAGAAAAATCAGAGCTATTTTATATGTAAAAATGTAAAATACATATAATGTAAGGGTAAAACCTCAAGAGAAAAAAATGTGCCTTCAAATTGGAAAGTCGCTGTAACTATAACTGGACAGTTCAAAAAGAACCCATTATATTCTTCTTGTTGTTTTTTGGGGGGTACCGAGGATGGAACTCAGGACCTTGCACTTGCCAGGCAGGTCCTTGTGCCACTGAGCTGTATCTCTGGCCCATACATTCTTGTGCAATTGTGGAAAAGAACCACAAACGTTGAAGAAGCCAGGTCTGAGAGGACTCCAAGTTGTACTAATTGACTTTCTAAATACTTAAATCTTCTATTTCAGAAAGAAAAAATTAGTAGAATTATTTAGTCATTATAATATAAAAGGCAACTGAAAATACAAGAAAATCTCAAAAAAAAAAATCCTTTCTACTAAATAAGACTTTAGGATCTCTAAACCCTAATTTTCACAGTAGATAATTTCAGAATATTAGGTTAACTATTGTGTAGTAGCAAGTTCACAAGATGTTTTAATACAAATTGACAAAATGAATTAAAAAAATAGATCTTAAGTGGCCTTCACCTAGTTTACCTTTGAGAAACTCAAAGGTAAACTAAGAAAATATTAGATAAATAAAAATGGAGACATTTTAAAAATGGGGTCTGCCAGAGAATTTTTGGAAAGTCAACGTAACTTCTACCTAGTCAAAGTGGTGACCTTTAGCACTCTAGCTTGGTGAGTCTATTTTATATAGCTGAGAAGCTGGTCATGTCTGTATAGTATTCTTTTAATGTACAAAGATTGATAGAAAAAAAGATAAATTTTTTCTGTAAAATAAATGATACCTCTATAACTTTCATTTTTCTTCGAATGGAGTAAAACCAACTTGCTTGAAAAATAAAATTACTATGACTTTATATTTAGACTATAAGTTGAGAGAAACAACAAAAGGTCTAAAATTAGCATCTAAGAGATTAAAACTTTCCAAATTATTTTATTTAACAGTTTTATAAATGACTTAGAGTATGAAATGTACAGTGAAATTTCCAAATTTGTAAATGGTACTAACTCTTCTAAGTAATATAATGCCAAGCTGATGAGAGCAAACAAAATAAAGTATTTCAAGGCTATAAGATTAGATAGCACAGAAGCCGGGCATGGTGGCACATGCCTGTAATCCCAGCACTTGGGAGGCTGAGGCAGGAGGATCCTTGCAAGTTCAAGACCAGCCTGGGATACAAAGTGAGCTCAAAGCCAGCCTGAACTGCATAGCGAGACTCTGTCTCAAAAATAAAAGCCTGGACAGCACAATAGTATATAAATTTCATCATTTATTAAGTGATATATCTGGGAAAATAACTGCTTATCATTTGAGATCCAAGAAAGGAACCTTTCCTTACTCTAGTTCCAATTAGAAATAAAGGGTACCATTAGAATAATAATAAAATAATAAAAATAATAATCATTATATTGTCTTTGGTTACTGTTGTGTATGGTTCTGAAATGCTTCCTATAATTCTACCTTTTTTGTGGGGGAGAGTTTTGGAACTGGGAATTGAACTCAGGACTTCGTGCTTACGCCATGCCACTGAATTAAATCTCAGGCCCTTATAATTCTACCTTAAATACTAAACCACAACAGTCTGGATGCAAAAGCCTATCAACATCAGAAGAAAAATTTCCAGCTCCTACCCAAACCATATCTTATCTCAAAAGATATAACACTAATATAGTGTAAAAGAACTCTAATAAGAACATTGATAAATCTACTTCTGAGAGAACATATTGTTAAGTTTATCACACAGAAGAAACAAAGGGGGAAGAAAGCCTTTAATCCAGACCTGGAGAGGAGAGTACCGCATGCAGCACAGGACTCCTCTGGGGCAGACAAAAGAAGCTGGACATTTATGAGGATTCTGGCTAGAGATGGCATTTGAGGGGCAGGCTCAGTGACGCATTAGGAGTTGACTGGGGTTTCCCTTGTGCACACCGGAAGGGTAAGAGGAAGTTGTGTTCAGGGCCGGGCAGGAATCTATCACATACAGCATATAACAGTGGATAGAAGCAGATATAAGTCATGGAAAAAGGGATAAAAAGAACAAATGTGTAGTATGAAAACAAAAATATCAGCATAAAAACAAGGTAAGTAAAGACATAATTAAACCTACTTTGAAATACAGGATTAAAGGCAGTACTACCTATCGGGAGGCAACAAGGCTACAGTATTAACTTTCCGTATCTTTCTTTTAAGCCTAGCCTCCAACGTGGCTTTGTTGCTACTGATTGTTAAAATGATACATTTTTTAAAAATTAAAAATGCATGATTCTAATAATTCACTTTTTAAGATATCTAAATTTCTCAGTTTGCAGAAAAGCCTTTATTATCAGGAAGCTCTGAGGAGGAAGAAATTAGGAAAAGCTGTTTTAAGATTATCTTAAGTAGTTTTAAGACAAGTGACAGTATGGAATAAATGAATAAAGCTCTCCCTAAGAGGTGGTTAAAATAGATTCTGGAAGAACAAACCAATGTTGGATAACAGTAGCTATTAAGATACAAGCTACTCAAATTGGGGTTCCTGCAATCAATAGACAAGAGTATTGTAAAGAAGTGATAATGAGGAAACTTAGAATAGAATGAACAAAACAAATATTTGGTAGAAAATGTGTTACAGGCAGCTGAGTTAGATAGAAATATAGGCTGTCAGACAGGGCCAGGCCCTGGAAGGAGACAGTATGAAAGACAAAATACCTTGCAAGGGTACATGCTGAGGGCCAGATCTCAAGACGGAAGATTAAACAAACACACCCACATACCTCCCTAGGGATGGACTTCAGGGATTGATATTCTAAATAGGTAGTGATCACCTTGAGGAGTCAATGACCCAACCCCTTACAGGAAACGGGTATTCGTGCCTGCTTGCTACGTGACTTGCTTCCCCATTTGATCCTGTTTTAATCAATTTTACTTGAACAGTTCTTACTGGCTGACCATAGTTCTGTCCCTCCTCATGCCCACCTTGTGACTTCCCATTTCCCCCCACCACTACCTTGGAACCACCTCACCTCGTGGTTTTGCTCTGTAAAAATCCTTGGAAAAGACAAGTCTCCCTGGGCAACCCACTCAGGACCCCCTTTTGGCTGTCTCTCTTATAGAAGTTTTCTTTCTCTCAATAAATATATTCTGCTCTTAACCTTGGTTGTTCTTAAAATTCATTCTTGGATCTTAGAGAACATGAACTCCTTGGGAGTTTCTTTCTCCTATAGCAAATGGATTACTTCCATTGTTTCTTTACAGCAGTGACAAAATGATCTTTTAACGGACCAGTATTTACTAAATTCCAGGACAGGATGCCTCATACTCCATTAGTGAGGCATCCTTTTATTCTCAGAGTAAAAAGACACTCCTATTTTCTATTGAATTACCTCAGTCATTTCCTGCATTATCTGACTAATCTAGGGGCTCATCCTAACTTGCTTATAAAGTCTCAATTTGCTACTGTGGCAACCCAAGTGCTTTGATTTTTACCGAAATTTTCCCTTCTCCTATTTAATAATGTTCTCATGTTTTTCTCTTCTTGATTTTACCACTTAACATTGTTGCTCAAATTCTAACAAATAAAATTTCAATTCAAGAGGCAAAATTTCCACACAGCTATTTCAAAAATAGTAATGTATAATAAAACCAATTTACCAACTGGATGAGTGATGGTGTTCTGCAGGCTGGGAATTACCACAGAGTAGGTAGGTGAACGATAAGGATAAACTGTTGTAGGATTCGTAGAGATAACACTCTGTGTGGTACCAGAAAATACACTGGAAACACTTAGAGGAAAGCGTTTTCGCTTCCCTGGACGAGGCTGATAAACCCAACCTACAGAAAAAGATAAACTATTTTTAATATAAATATATATCCTCAACTTGGCATTAAAATACAAAAAACTTCAAACTCTTTTTAAAGTAGATTATTATCTAAAGTAGACTTTCACACCAGGTGTTGTGGCACACACCTATAATTCCTACAGTCAAGAGGCTGAGCCTCAGCAGGAGGATTGCTGAGAGTTCAAAGTCAGCCTAGGTTACATGGTGAGCTCTAGACCAGCATGAAATATATAGAAAGACCTTATCTCAAACAAAGTACATTTTTGAGCTCTTTGATACTACTTCTGTGCATGACTTTTCCATTGTGCATTGTAACATATATATCTATACAGCTTCTAACTGGTGTCCAATTTTGTAACCCATAATTAAAAGGAAGAAGGTCAAATGTCTTATAACCAGTGACGCACACTCAATCTAGACTATAATCTACATCAAAGCCATTTAGGTTGAATCCCAAAGCTTTTCCTCCACTTATAAAACAATACCTCAGTAAGACATTACTCATTACTTTGTTTCCGTTCTGCAAGATATACTTGTGCACTTCTTACAGTTTAACAGTAATAACCAGTCACTCTTTTCATGCCTAATTCAGGAAGAGTAGCTCTTCTAGATACGGCAGTCTCCAAAACCATAAATAATTCAATGTTCTTCTAAAGTCAGAAGAAGAAAGCCTCCAGTTTCTACCCCTGACACTTTTCCTAAAACACCTCTGCTCATAATTCACAAATTCTTTTCCTACTACGCACGGTTATGTTTGCTATACACTATCCATTTTCCCATTCTTAATCTCATTTATCTTACTGGTGAACAGGAATCAGAGTCATTTAAAACGATGTAACATAATGGGAATAAATCTATGTTCTGATAACCATATGGTATTAAATTGGAACATGGTGTTAATCCCTGCATTCTTTTAAGTGTGTGATACACATTTCTTGCATGGTTTTAATATTTCTAGTATATTTGCAAAATTATACCCTAGAGTTCTAGGCATTTACCTTTATCAAATTTATATCTATAGTATCTATATATATTTAATCAAAACTGCAATGAAACTGTCTCTGGTTTGCATTAGTAAGTATGAAATGAAATACCCCCTCCTTGGTTCTCTTTAAGGAAACTTAGGCCTAGTCTCAATCGTTACTACAGTATTACCCATTGTTCTCTTTTCTGAACATAGCAGATTAGGGGGGAAATTACACATTTTTTATCTTTCAGTCTTATCCTAACAATTTTTGTTAATAATTTAAAAGAAATATAAAAGAAGTTTTGTTCATTTCATTGATTACCAGGAAATTCCTCTCTGTGCTTTTCCTTAATCTTTTGTGCTTCATCATAATAAGGTTTCTTTTGCTCTTCGCTAAGTTTGTTCCACTCTAACCCAAGCTGGACACTGATTTCTGCATTGTTGGCTGCTGGGTTAGCTTTGGCTAGTGCTGGCCGGTGAATCCTCGCCCAAACCATAAATGCATTCATGGGTCGCTTCACATGACCATTTCTGTCCTTACTGAAGGGAGTATCCGGTATTCCTAAATGACAAAAATTAAGAGACTTAATTAATGTGACACATACAATGTTAAAGTGAAGTGTACCTTCATCTATACTTATTTTTAAGTATCTAAAGAAAACATATACTTCATTATAACCAAGAACGGCCAATATTCTAGAATTCCTTAAAATCCCTGCTACTGTGGAATCATTTCTAATACACAGAAAGTGGCTTGCTTATTATTTCTCTGAGCTTCATTAGTACCTCTAACAAATAGTAAACATTTATTTTCCCACTAAAAATAGTCTATCATTAGGGGGCAGGAATATGACTTATTCATGACTATAATCCTACTACTAACTTAGGTGTTACCTACATATTTATTTGTTTTGTTTTTTGTTTTTTAAGAAAAGGTCTTGCTGTGCAGTTCAGGCTGGCCTTGAACTCACTATGTAGCCAAGGCTGACCTCGAACTCATTGGCTATCCTCCTGTCTCAGCCTCCTGAGTGCTGAATGTGCCATCACACCTGGTTTACCTACACACTTAAAGAGACTTATTTACATGCTCTTGCAGTGTCCTTTAAAGGAAAAACTTTATTTTTATATATAGAAAAACTATATA